CCTTCGTTGAGTCAACTTTCTGTTTTAGATTGTGAGTCATGTCAGTTTGGGAAACACCATCGTGTTCCCTTTAGTTCTAGAGTTGATAACCGTGTGTCGAGTCCTTTTTCTTTGATTCACTCGGATGTTTGGGGTCCTTATAAAGTGATGTCATACAATGGATATAGATATTTTTTCATTTTTGTTGATGATTTTTCAAGAATGACGTGGCTCTATTTAATGAAAGAAAGAAGTGAATTGTTTACCATCTTCCAAAAATTTTATGCTGAGATTCGCAATCAATTTGGTGTTTACATTAAAATTTTTCGTTCTAATAATGGCCGTGAATATTTATCTTCATCATTTCAAGAATACTTGGACCAACATGGCATTATACATCAGACCTCATGTACCTACACCCCACAACAAAATGGGGTGGCTGAGAGAAAGAATCATCATCTCTTGGAAACAACCCGATCCATCATGCATCACATGAATGTTCCCAAACCCTTTTGGAGTGATGCGGTGCTTACTTCTTGCTTCTTGATTAATCGGATGCCCACGTCTATCCTTGTTGGTCATTCCCCATTTACTACCTTGTTTCCCACCTTGTCTCCGTTTCCTCTTTCTCCCCGGGTATTTGGGTGTGTCTGCTTCGTCCATAATTTGGGCCCCGGGAATGACAAGTTAGATTTACGATCCCTTAAGTGCATCTTTCTTGGCTATTCTCGGACCCAGAAAGGGTATAAGTGTTACCATCCTAGTTCTCGACGTTCCTTTGTGTGTGCTGATGTTACCTTCTTTGAGTCTACTCCGTTTTTCTTGGGGTCCGGTGATGCTTCTTCCTCCTCATCACCTCCCCCTCTTCCACTTTCAGTTTCTGATTCTGTTCCCCTTGTTCCAGCAGTGACCAAGTCCTTGCCTCCGGTGCCACCACTTGTTGAACGCCCACCTATCCGTCAAGTGTATACACATCGCCCACGTGTATCGGCTGCTACTCCTCCGGCTCCATCACCGTCGACAGATCCGACAGTTGTCTCCACACTAGCCCCAAACCGAGTATCTGATCTTGATCTTCCCATTGCCTTGCGGAAAGGTAAACGCACTTGCACCCTTCATCCTATTTCTAATCATGTTTCATTCACTCACCTTTCCGCTTCCCATCGCCAGTTTATTTTTTTATTATCCTCAGTTGTTGTTCCTAAGGATGTCCAGGAAGCCCTTGCCTCTCCAGGGTGGTGCCGTGCAATGGAAGAAGAGCTCTCAGCTCTACTTCATAATCATACTT